CTCTGCTTTCCATTCTGCCAGATGACCAGAAACACCGGGCAACATCTCTGCCACGCATGCCTCCCAAGCTTCGAACCTGGCTTTTGCAACTGCGCTTCCAAAGATCCAGCTTCAACTTCTGCGCAGCATCTGGCAGGCGAGGAAAAGAAAATGCAAACACCAAAAACGCTAAAACCACTTCAAGGAATTATAGGATACCCTCGCAGGTGATGAAAGATGTATTTTTGCTATACCCGGTGTGGAGTTTTACATAGAGACATTTGAGCTCACCCCCACTTCCGGGACGCGAGGGACCAAATAGCTAATCATCACAGAGCACGGGCGGCGCTGGCATGTTCATTGGTCTGCAAATCGGGCAAGATAAACGCTAAAGGAGCCTAAGTAAATACCTGGACCCCCTATAAGAGACGCCATTTTTTGGGTCTCTTCAAATTTTGGAACGAATTTAGTGCGACACAGGTTGGCGCCAAATTTTGCACTTTCTGCATCATATTTTGCATCGTTTGGGCTGTGTTTTTGATCTTTTGGCGTCATCTTTTTGGGTCCTGTTTCTGGTCGAGAACAAAAAAGCATCGGATAGGGGTCCAGGTACAAGCGAGCGTTGGAATGTATATCTTGTTACATCGAGCGTTAAATCAAAGAAACAGACCTTGATTTACATTGCGTGGAGGCGTTGCCTAATACACTGCATGGACGCGTTGCTTACGCCCGCGGGGCGTAAGCGATGCGGACCCTCAGGGAGCGTTGCGCCAGCTCCGAGCAGTGGGACTGCGTTGCTGTCCAAAAGGTCGCGTTGCTTACGCCCGCGGGGCGTAAGCGATGCTCCTTGTTTTTTTGATTTTTGGTTACATTTGGCATCCAAAAAAAAATATATATATATATATAGAGATTTAGCCGGTTATGGCAGTTGTGAAATCGAAAAAAGCACAAAGCAGTTTTGAGCTCGTTTTCAGACAGTTCGCCGATTTTATGCTTTTTGTTGTCATTTCCTTTTAAATATTTGTCTTAAAATTTCGCTCGTTTTTTCCATGTCCTACAAATTTGCCCTTTTTCACGGGGTGCCAAATGTAGCCAAAAAATGCCAAGAGCCAAAAAACAAGGAGCATCGCTTACGCCCCGCGGGCGTAAGCAACGCGACCTTTTGGACGGCAACGCAGTCCCACTGCTCGGAGCTGGCGCATCGCTCCCTCAGGGTCCGCATCGCTTACGCCCCGCGGGCGTAAGCAACGCGTCCATGCAGTGTATTAGGTAACGCGTCCACGCAATGTAAATCAAGGTCTGTTTCTTTGATTTGACGCTCGATTGAACAAGATATACAACCCAACGCTCGCTTGTAGCGTCTGCAGCAGAGCCATTACTTCAAATGAATTGCAAACAGGTCCCTGCAGCAGCGGGGCAGATCATGAGAATCAGTTGCTCGGGCTCAGGACCCTGGGACGCAAAAGCTGCGACTCACAGGGCTACCCAAAGGTAGCGCAGACAGCAGACATGTGAAAACCAAACAGGAGTTGGGTTGGCTTAACAGATGCACGGTGTCCCGGGCAGGATCGCGGTTCCTCTGCACGCGTGAGCCGCCCTCATCGATTAAGTAGATGGAACCATCTGTTCATGTCCAAGCCCAATCATCTTCCATCTATATCAGGAAAAAGAATATATATATATATAAAAGGGAAACGACGCAAAGAAGAAAGGAAGAAAGAAAGAGAATGAATCGGCGCGGATTAAGAAAGGAAAGGAAGCAAGCATAAGGCGCCGAGCGGGAACCGAGCGGCCCCGAGCGGGCGCGGAGCGCCAGAGGGGGCGTCGAGCGGCGCTGCAGGGCGCCGCGGAACAACCAAAGAGAAGGCCATAAAGAAAGGACGGAACAATGGAAAGATTAGTAGGGCGCCGAGCAGGAACAGTGCGGCGCCGAGCGGGCGTCAGGGTGCTGCGGGACAACCAATGGCAAGAAAGATCAAGAAAGAAAGGACGGAAGAATGGCAAGGAAGGAAGCTCAGGGCGCCGAGCGGGTGCCGAGCGGCTGTGCAGGGTGCCACGGGACAACCAAACCGAAGGCCCGAAAGAAAGGATGGAACAATGGAAAGACAAGACGCTTATAGGGCACTGAGCGGGAACCGAGCGCGAAACAAGCGGGAACCGAGCGGCGCCGAGCGGGCGCGGAGCGGCGCTCAGAGCGCCGAGTGGGCGTTGAGCGGCGCTGCAATGGGCCACGGGACAGCGAAAGAGAAGGCCAGGAAGAAGGACGGAAGAATGGCTTAGGGCGCCGAGCGGGCGCCGAGCGCGCGCCGAGCGGGCGCCGAGCGGCGCTGCATGCAGCGTGCCACGGGACAGCGAAAGAGAAGGCAAGGAAGAAAGGACGGAAGAATGGAAAGGAAGGAAGCTTAGGGCGCACATCATGCATGGTGAGGTCGTACCTGGTGGACAGCTTAGCAAGCCATCGTTCGCCAAAGAGTCCAAAGCACGCTGGACTAGCTTTTCAGACCAATTGTGGATGGGCGATTGGGGGTCATTGATCTGAGCATGTATCCAGCGGAGTTGCTTCAGCCCACCTTGTCCATCTCACCATGCTCCATTAAGAAGTTCCAGGCCGCCTCATCTGGCTCGGGGGCCTTCGACTTGACAGCTCTCACTTGAGGGCCCAAGGAGTATTGTTGAATCTGGCTTCCTCCAAGCTGTTTTCAAAGCCATTGAAAGCCCTTACGAGCAAGCTTTTTGTTGGCCGCGCCCCACTGAAGCTCCTAGCCTTGGCCCTGGAGCAGAGTTTTGATGTAGGACCCCTTCACCTTGATCTTGTCCGAGGAAACGTGCACATGCTTCAGAAGGCAAACTTTCCCATCAGTTTGCGGAAGCAAGAAGTACTGGACGATGGAATCGAAGGCTGGCCGTACCTTGAACTGCATCACTACAGGTAGCTCATGCCACGCATCGTCTCTGACAATGGCTTTAATTTGGTCCCATTCCACCTAAAAAGGCTCGATGTCCAGCACCTTGTCCACGAAGTGGCGAAGCCCCACAGAGTTGGAGTCAAGGTCTGGCAGTGAGCTGGTAAGTCGCGTAGAGGCATAGCGGAGGTGGCGTCGATAGCATCCTGCAGCTTGATGTCGCTAGCATCGATGGAAACCATGCTTGGCCAAAGGAAGGTAGACACTTGAGGGAATAGCAAAGAGATTGAGACAAGCAGCTGCAGCCAGACAGTGCTAAGCGCAGAAGCAGACAAAACATTTGCAGTGCAATGAAGCCCTGACGCAAACAACAGACATTGTGCATGCTCACTTGAAGTTGAAGGACATGTGTTTGTGCAGTTGTGTGGAGTTAGTTGTGAGCTACAAGCTTTCACATGACTCAAAGCTCATCAGCGTTCTTTTTCGTCGTGCGAGACTCACAAATCCATCACGCCCCCCCCAGCCTAGCACGTGGTGTTTGTGGTCGTAAAAAAAGCTTCGGGGGGGGTGGCAGGTAAAGCACCTGGAGGAGGAAGCCCTGGAGGTGTACCTGGTAAAAAAGCCTCCGGAGGTGTAGGTGGGGGTGGCCCTTCGGGCGTCCCGTGTGATAAGGGGGGCGTAGCCGGCAAAGGTGAAACCAGGACCCCATTCAGCCATCTGCCCCAAAGCTGCGGCGGAGTCGTTGGCACCATGTCGCCCACGTCAGCAAGAAGGTCATTCCTCAGGCGTTCGGGGAGGCAGTTGTGCAAAACAGATGGCCTGTGCAGATGGAGCTGCGGAACGTTTTGGTCAATTTTTGGGTTTTCGTTAGTTTTTTGTTCCATCAATTGGTGCATTTTTTTTCAAAGGCACTCCCCAGATAACATAATGTATATATAATATATATATAGTATATATAATATATATAGTAATATACATTGATACTAACATACAAACACAATGTGAATGGAATGCATAATTTGAACATGAAGAAATGTCATTTTTCACTGTAAATTACAATGGAATCACCATGTGGGGGGTCGTGGTGGGGGGGTGATCATATATATATATGTATATATATATATATTAGCGAGCGTGTGACTGTGACCGTGTGTATGTTGCACAAAAATGCTGTATGTGAAACCAACATTGGATGTGCCAGGAAGGCAAACAAACTCGAACATATAATGACAAAGGTCTCTAAAGTTTCTGCCTTTCTCAGCAGAAATCCTTTCAAGAACAAGGAGAAGCCTTTTATAGAGGACACGGTTGAAAAGAGGCGTCGGGTAAAAGAGGAGTCTCTTGTAAATGGTAGACATATTCAAAGAGGGCGTCCACAAAAAAGGCGCTCACCGTAATTATGAGTGACAAACCTAATCTATTCACAAACAAATCCAAAGATCTAAGGGACATGCTTTCAGCTAGGAGGACATACCAACAATACACAAAATACAACAATACACTTCACACATCTTCACACCCTCCTGCCAGAAAAGTCACCAGGCCGTTGGCATCCTTGACTTTTTGTGATATGTCTCGATGTTTGGGGTAGGTTCAGTATTTTGGGGTAGTTTTGGTATGCCACCCTACCGGTCTACACCCACCCAAGTTCAGATCTTTGGCATTTTAGTATTTTGTGTAAAGATATGTTAAGTATTTTGGTTGATTTAATTTATCTTTTGCACTTTGGCTTGGGTAGATCTAGATATCATCCGTTTCCACATGTCCATCGCAAATCAAATGTAGTGAAGACTATGAGTCGTCCCTCAAATTCCTTTCCGTTTTGGGATCACTATGAAGTATGTTCGACCCTCAGCCTGGTCAGGCTGGGGCTTGCAGCAAACGTCCAACGGCTCAGGCGCTCTGGGGTGGGAACCACCGGTTGCGTCGTGATCCGGTCGTCGGTGCTCCGGTCGAGGGTCCAGCACGGTGCCGTCGGTGCGCCAACGCGCTCGGTTCGAAGGAAGTCGATGGACTGCTCAGTATACTTGAGATGACGTGCGAACCCAAAGAACGTCGACGTTGAGCGGCCGAGAAAAGATTCCACTTTGCAACGAAGAAAGGGAGCGGTCGAGGTGCCTGAGGGCCTCTTCAGCCCAAGGGCAAAGCCCATGTCGCACCACCACACGCTGCACCTGGCGCTTGGGAAGGTGCTTCTGCTTCTTTCGATTGAAGGGTGCATCCCCAAATGAGCCACGGGGGAGGGCATGGCAGTGTCAAAGAGCCAATGACTTGTCTTTATAGTGTATTGTATTATACATTATTATACTATATTATATTCTATATACATGTGATTGTCTATAGGTAGAAATCCAAATACCTGCTGAGGAACTGGGGCTTCATGCGGTATGGGGATGCTGCCTTCTGAGGATGTAGGTGGATGCATCGTAAAATGAATATACTCGCTATCACTGGGGTCTATCTTCCCTCAAGACGGCTTTGGCTGGCGTTTCTGACTTGCCAGGATATCTGAATCGGTTCCTGGCCATGTCCACATGGGTATCTTGGGGACTATCTTTGGGTTAATACTAAAAATGGTAGATGATGGAGATTGCCACTTCCCCCATCACCAACACACCCTGTTCCTCAGGGTGGGCACCAGTAACGATATGGGAATAGTCTTCCCTCCGTGAGTTGTCTCACAAGTTCTACACTTTGGTCACGTCAATTGGAAACTTGAGAACTTGTGAGACCATACCTGGACCATCCCGTGGGTGTCAGAATCTTAGATCGTCCAGCCAGGATGGGAACTTTGGACATGTTAGTAGTAACAGGTGCATCGCTACTAGGAACCAGAAATATAGTATTCTTGTTACTACTAGTAAGGCACTTGTTCCTAGTAGCGATGCACCTGTTACTACTAGCGATGCACTTGTTACTACTAGCTTCTCATATACATATATAAAGAAAAATCACTGACTGGAGATTGGAGATCTTGGGAGATCCAACACGTCCATTGTGGGAACTTTGGAGATTGGACTCGATTGGACATGTTGGTGAACTCTTTGGAGATCTGAGATTGGAGATTGGATGATGAATCTTCCTGTAGGCAGTTGTAGGGTACGTCGTCCATCGCTGCCTACGCACACCAAAGCCCAAGAGGCGCACCCAGGCCGCCATAGCTCGGCCAGCCTAGCGGGGGGGGGGCAGGAGCAGAGACGCTACTAAAGGAGCTTCTTGTTACTACTAGTAAGGCACTTGTTACTAGAAGCGATGCCCTTTGTTACTACTAGACATAAAAGTACATAAAATAACGGTGAAGAGCTCTGATCAGCCCTGTGGATTACAACATTGTAAGGTTTAGCCCGTTTAGCACAAAAATCATCCAAGTTCATCTCCCAGCACCTGTTCTGTTCCTTTGTTGGGGAGGGGTTCGGGTCATGTCCCAGTGGTTCAGGTTAAGCGGATGGAGACTTTCTGGAAGCGGACGGCTTGAAATAAGGGGGGACCGGATCCGCCAAACATCATCCCAAAGGGTCCGACTTGTCGACACCAATAAGCTGTACCCAGGAGACCTGTTGCTGAGGGTGCTGTTTTGGACCAAGTCACTCATGTCTTGTTAAGCTTTGCTTTGGCTCCTTCAGATTCCTTCGGTTTCGGGGAGTGGTTGGGTGTCCCATTCCACGAAGGTGAGGTCCACCATCATGGTCAAAGCTACTTCATCCAACTTGTAGGACGGATAGTAACTCTGTGCAGCTCTGAAACAGCAGACTCAGCGGCCCAAGGATGGATTTCTTTGTTCGTACCCCACAACGTGTCACCCCAGAAATCTTCACCCATCTCATTTGCTTTCAAGTTCTTGTGGCTGAACAACGTTCGAACCAACCTTCTCATCACTTCTCATCCGCCGTCACCGATCGTGCTGGTTTTCCTCCGCTTTGAGCCGATCAGTTGCTTCATCTTCGACCTTGGGTGACCGAAGAAGCCCTCTGATTCCTTCAGGCACCGCCAAGAAGCCACGGCGCCAGACCTGATCCTCGGTTTTTCACGGGACCGTGAAACGGACACAAAGGAACTCCAAGAAAGCACGGCAGGAGGTAAGACCCTGCAGGATGCCTGCGTCACAACGTTGAACTAAGCGTTGGTGGTTTTGCCAGGCGCTTTTGACCAGGAACCACTGTGATTCGCTTTGCGGGATCCAACCGCTGAACACGGAAGCGTCAGGCACCGAGGGAACTACGACGTTGTCCGATGCCCAGCTCCGGACATAGAACAGGTGATGCAGCCTGGACTAGTAAATATGGGGGTCATGGCATGGTAGATTATCTACTGCATCATAAGATCATATAAGATCCAGAAATCCGATGCCATCCAGCTATGCTCACCCCAAAAAGTACATACATTCACACAATTCACACAAAGGTGCATCAAAGCACCTCAAACGACATGAAAATTCATAGCAAAAGTAGTGTCCTCCAAAACTTCAATACACACGTCGAATGTTGACCATCTCATTGACCTCAAAAAGAATAAACTGCATGTGGCTCTGTACCAAACATACAGTAGCTTGTATGCATCTTGATCCCCCCACCCAACAGAAACAATATATATATATATGATTCGATTATATATGTATTATGAGAGAGAGAGAGAGAGTGAGAGAGCGCAAGGCTGCGCCTTCACACGCACCCAAACCACCAGCCAGCTGAACCATCCCCAAAGACGCTCCAAGCCGCCTTCACGCTGCCCGCGCGGCGCTCGGCCAGAAGCAGCCCGCACGCGAGACACATCACACCAGCTTGCCGCCGGTGGTCGAAGGACTTTCCGGGAAAGAGCAAGTACCTGAGTTTCATTGAGTTTCTCACCTGACTTCAGAAAAAGCCAACTGATGTCACCTACAGCGTATCCTATCGTCAGTATCGACATGCATCGACGGCTTTCCGACCTTCCGCTCTCCCTTCGTCCCTTCGATGGGAGACCGGTGCGCCCCATGGTGGGACCCATCGAGCGCCGTTCGTTCCATTCGATGTTCTAGTCCATGGTTTGGTCTGTTTGGCCGCCTGAAAAAAATTCAGTTTTTGCTATTGTTCGATCACAGAATCAGACAAAATGATTGGGCAAGATTCTGATGCATGCATGCTCGGAAGGCTCCAATTCTGTGTCTGGAACGCCCCGCAAAAATTTATAAAAATTTGGCGAGGAAAGCACAAAGTCCCGAAGTCCCTAAAGACGCCGCATTGCATCTCTTCGCTCCGCTTTTTGTTCATGGCTCTTCCTCTTTCTGAAAGGTCTCTGCCTGTTCCTCCCACTCTGCTATACGGCGTTCTGCCTCAGAGGTCTCTAGGGAGAGCATCCTCAGCAGCGAGAGCGATCGTGTTGCACGCACATGAGTGAGTCGCTGTGTAAGCACAGCACAGTCTGGTCCAAAAAGGAATCCACAGAACTGACCAGCCAATGCCTGTCAATGCTCAATTCTAGCAGCAAGTGCTTATGTCAAATGATGTCAATTGATGTCAAAGGTCTATTCGCTCGCAGTCCAGTTGAACATCTGGAACCACCGACATCGCTCGCGAGTCGCTCGGAGAACGCGAGTCTTAGAGAACGCTCGGAGAACGGTCACAGAGTTTGGCAGTCGCTGTTTGGGGGCCGCTGAAATGTCCAGAGCAAAAGATCCACTGTGACCAAGCTGGTAGCAACACACGCAGCCCTCTATTGAGTAGTTCGTTTGGTGGTTGGTGGTTAATGAAACAAAGCGGACGAACTGTGCTGGCAAACGAAAGGGCTTCTTCCCCCCTTTGACTCCTACACGGGTACAGTTCCTTCACCAGATATGTCTGCGCTGGTACATCAAAAGCCTCGCACCGTGTATATTATATCTCAAGGGCCAACTCAATTGACGAATAAAAGGAATGAGAATGAATGAGAAGTAGTTCATTCACATGAATTTGAAAGGCAGCCTGTATGACATCTTCAGATCTCCAAATATGCATATGACACCGCACGACTGGTTCTCCTTGGTTTCTTCAGAATGCACCAATGTTGAAACAGCCCAAGGCACTCAGACATGCCACGATGCTCCTTCTTGGGAGGCAGGTTCAAAGCCTCTTCCGAGCGAAAACTACTGCACCCGGTGCCCGGTGCAACTCGTAACCCAAACCATCTATGTGGCCTATTTGCCAACATTCGGGTGGTTTGAGGGGTCAATGTTGGGTTTATAGATTCTGATGGTCTGGGTAAGGAATGAGGGAATGGATGGAAAGGAATCTCTCTTGGGGGGCCATTCCCTCATTCCAGACGAGTCGCACCAGGAAATGGTGCGAAGGACGAGCAGCCGCACTCCAGCCGCACAACGGAGTGTCCAGTTTGTTCTCTAAAATTCACCAGGAATTCATGAAGCAGGGGTGGTGTCTTTTATTATCAATGAATCAAAGAAAAGATTTGGCTCTTCAATCCCCTGGCAAATGTTCTGCAGATTAAGAACATTCTCTTCAAGCGGGTGAGGCCAGTAATCTTTTCAGCAATGTACCGTTCGGCGCAGCATCTTGGACAACAAAACTTTAAGGAAGGGTCGTGAGATCCAATTTACACCCACAAAAACATCCCATCGAATGTTCATATTAATTTCCTCACCGAATTGGTCGCCTGACCAGATCAGAACTCCTTGGCTTCGCCCATCATGGCCCATCACGGCCCGAAGAGCGCCGTGTCCTCGCCTTCAGAAACTTGTGCCCCTTCCAGTCAGGGGCACACTCTTCCATCCTGGGAGCGTAAACGCAACGTCGTGACAAAGGGAGAGTGGGACGAGAGAGAGAGAGAGAGAAAGAGAGAGAGAAAGTAAAATCGAGTGATGGAGAGATGCTGGATATATAGATATTTGATGTACATAATATCTAGCGTAGCGTGTAGATACAACGAGAGAGAGGAGAGAGGAGAGGAAAGAACAAAGACCCGAGTGACTCAAGTTTGTTCGTTGATAGAAGTCTGTGTTCGTAACGTTTCCGCATATCAAAGGATGATCCTTCGGAAGTGTTGTTTTTGCAAATCATGCACAATAGAGAGTCTAGAACTTGTCATATCCACCCGAACCCATGGATCGACTAGGAACAACCTCAGGGTTTTCTGCTCGGAAGAAAACCGGGCTTTTCCAATCCCGGTCAGCAGTACACAATTTATCTGTATACGAACAATACTAGCACTTTAAGAGAAGGAACAAGGAATTTTTCTTACACAACCGGTCTGCAAACACTATCCAACGCAAGCTGTCTTACACAACCAGTCTGCAGGCACTATCCGGAAGACCCTAAAACATAGAGGCCTGCGTAGATTGCCTGTTATACGCATGACTCCAAGTTGGGTCATGTGATGTCTCTGATTTGGTCAAGTCATTCCAAACAAGGTGTAAGACTGTTGAATGACCTCTCATTGACCTCTCAAATTGTCCGCGGAAAATCATGGTTTACTCCAATTTGCTCCGCCTGTACAGTACAGGTTGAGGGAGCAGGGAAGCTCTTCTCCCAACGCCCAAAACTATATATTATGTATACAATTAGTTTTAATGATCAAGCACTTAATAGGTTCACTATAGACCCACAATAAGTTCAAGTTCCTCACAAGGGCATGTTCTTGCCATAACATGCAAAAACAAAGCAACGTCGCCGTTCGCGGCTGTGAGTTTCTTGCTACTTTTTACTACCATTTTGCTACTTTTTGTCAACTTCCGGTTGCCAGGTTGCGTTTATAGGTGGTTTGCGGGGTTCCAGTGAGGTTGTTTTTTTGGGCGGGGGGTTTGGTTACGAGGTTGCGTTTAGGGGTGTTTTGCGGGGTTTGAGTGAGGTTCGGAGGGTGTCGCCGTCGTCTTCGCTCACGGGCACTGGATGCCTTGCGGGACTCAAAGAATTCATACCAAAAGAACTAGCCACAAATGTCAAGAGTCGTCTAGTGAATCCAGATATGCATATATAACTGGGTTTTCGCGTGGCAGTGGCGGCACAATGCCCGGATCCGCTGTCAGAACCTTTGGGAAGCAGTCTCTGAACTCTTCCGTTGAGCGTGTGCAAAATACCCACAGCCGCTAACGGCGACGTTGCCAAAAACAAGCTAACAGCATCTATATATATATATCATGTTATACAGTAACACTTCGTGTCTAAAGCTGAGCTGCTGCTCCAAAGCGAAGTCATCCCGGCTCAGCA